AGCTAAGTCGGCCGCAGGCCTGGCTGGCAGCGGCTGGCAACCTGGGGTCTGCCTCCGCGGCCTGCCCTGCAGACTTGGGCGGGGCGGGGGGGGGGCCCTCCAGGAACTGCCAGCAGGGACGCGTGCTCAGCGGGGACGCGTGCTCAGAGACGGCGTCTCTCTTGCTCCTTTCGGTCCCCCACCTTTACGCTCAGAGGGAGTGTCTGCAGGCGGCAGGCCGGCGTCTTGCTGCCCGATCGTGTGCTGGACAATCTGACCACGTCCGGCCTTGACTGAGGCCTTCCCAGTGCTCACACACAGACCGCTGTCAGCGGGCTGGGCTTACAAACCCTCTTACCCTTTTCCTGCGTTCCCTCCTCCGTCTTCCCCCCCCTTATTTTGGGTTAAAGGACTCGTGTTGACATCCATTTTATCTCCATCAGTGGCTTGTTTTCCAGTTTTCTTTAACATTCCCTTTCTGCCACGGATCCAGCCCACGATACCAAGTGGCACGTCGTGCCGTGGCCCGGCTGCTCAAGGACCGACGTGCACGTGGACCGTGCACACTGACAACTTCCCAGTCCGCCTTCAGTGCTGCCAGAGCACCCCTGGCATGGGGACAGGGCGGCGTCTCCCAGCCCTGTGCGGCCGTCCCGTGCCACGTCCACAAACCTGCCGTGACTTCTGCTTTCGGCAGTCGAGGGCTTGGACATTCTAAACACAGAAACGCCTTGGACTGCGAGAAGCTCATTCTGTGTCTAACACAAGACAAGCAAACATTTCTGATAAATTAAAAAAAACAATTTAACGTTTATTTACTTTTGAGACAGAGAGCACAAGCAGGGGAGGGGCAGAGAGAGAGGGAGACACTGAATCCGAAGCAGGCTCCAGGCTCCGAGCCGTCAGCACAGAGCCCGATGCGGGGCTCGAACTCGCGAGCCGTGAGTTCACGACCTGAGCCGAAGTCAGACACTCAACCACCTGAGCCACCCAGGCGTCCCTCTGATAAATTTTAACTTGACACACGAGTGGCGTCCTGAGATATGAGCAGTACATGCTGCCAGATGTCACATGATCACAACTAGCCAATAGTTCTCTCTCTCTCTTGCTCACTCGCTGTGGGATTGTGGGTGATCATCTCCTATGCTCAGACGCTCGGTCTCAGGCCGCGGTGTTTGGAAGAAATCAGTGATTTTTCAGGACGTTGGAAGGTGCCCACAACTGGCACTTGTGTATTTTTGTCACTTCAAAGCACCTCTGGACCGTCCTTTGCTTTTCCATCCAAGAGGGAGCTCAGGAATGCTTTGCTTCATTCTAGGTCATCGGACAGGTTCCTTGTTGAAGTTGCACGAAAGTTAAGATTCCATGGAGCCAACAGAGAGCAGTGATTCCGTCAGTGATAAAAGTCATTCTACACAGCAACCCTCCTCTCTTGTGCCCCTCACACCAGCCAGGAGGGTTTTCAAAGGGCAGGTTAATTTAGCTTTGTAATCTGCATTTTATTATGTTGTATTACAGCACCGTAACCATTTTTATATGAATATATTTGGGTTGTACAACGAATCATCTGAGTTTCCGGTATTTCTTATGGGGAAATTCGCTTTGCGATGCAGGTGCTTTGGATAACAAGCATGTTTCCGGAA